CAGCAGTCCTCAAAACCACGCCCTTCTCCAACACAGAACAGTAGTCCCTAAAACCACGCCCTTCTCCAACACAGAACAGATCCTCAAACCAACGCATTTCTCCAGCACGGGAAGAACCACACCATCGTATAAAGTCCACCCCCTTTGCCTCCAATAACCAGCCCTACAGTCCATCCGGTCTGCAACTTCCTCTGCCTCTCACACCCTACATTTGTACCATCACCCTTTCAGGCTCCTAATCTTCGACTCATGGGACCCTAAGTATATATATATATAAAACTTTCTACATCTTCTAAATACCTCCATGATTTCATCTAATTATCACTTCATCTCCTTATACTTCTCCAATTTCATCTAATTTCGTCTACTCATCTTTATTAAATCTTTGCTTGACCTCATCATTAATATCGCACTAGCTTTTACTCACAGCTTCCAAAGAAACGAAAAAACAGGAAGAAAAGAAAGTAGAGAGAGAGAGAAAGAAAAGCATGAAACGAGAGAGAGAAAGAGAGAGAAAGAAAAGCATGAAACGAGAGAAAGAGAGAGAAAGAGAGAGAGAGAGAAACGAAAAAACAGGAAGAAAAGAAAGGAGAGAGAGAGAAAGAAAAGCATAAAACGAGCACATCTCTAAAACATGCTTTACACCAGGCTATAAAACTCGAACCCAAATACTAAAAACTGCTTAATTTACCTCCCAAAATGCTCAATCAAAAATCGTCATTAAAAACAGCCATGGACCCCACACGCCCCTGCAGGAGCACTACCTTACTTTCCAACCTTCTCTCTCTCTCTCTCTCTCTCTCTCTCTCTCTCTCTCTCTCTCTCTCTCTCTCTCTCTCTCTCTCTCCCCTGCGATTTCCATTCTCACACGCACTATATTCCTCCCACAGAAAGTCTCAACTAATTTTCAAATGCAACTGGAAACTGAATATATAAGACCGGCAAAATATTAAACAATGGTGGAGGAATTAGTACATAAACACAGAGGATTCCAAAACTTCTTCAAAATAACGTACTATTGCATTTAACTTCAGAATGTACGTCTTAGCCTAATGCCGACGGACGGGCATGACGTGTACGTGTATGCCATGCCCACTGTGAGTTTACTTGTTTGACTGTTTTTACAAATGGATGGCTACACCTGCATTAAGTCACCATTTACGAAATTTACGAAAATATTTTACGTTATCTTATTTTGCTGTTACTAATATTTATAACATTATGGTAATTATAATGTTTATAATAAAAATAACACCATCGATATTCATAGCACTAGTAAAAAATACATTTTTACCGCCAATTCAAGGAAAGGTGAAATCAGGTAAGGTTACAAGGTCTACTAATTAACTCCTTTGTGGCTAAGCACCAGCAGAGCCATCTATGTGCAGAGACATTTCACAGATAATATAAAAAAATTAGCACAGCATTTTCCCCACGTTTTAAGCATTTTCCCTCGCCGGCATTGGGTTAAAACTTGGAAGTGGAATAGATAGTTATTTTTGATGAATCAAGGAATATACGAAAGTGGACATAAATATGAATTGTAGATACTATAACGGCTATTTATTACACCCCCAAAACAAACCATCAGTAAACACGAATATGAAAAAAATATCAATAAAGAATGAAAATATCACTCTATATCAAATCCTCTAAACAGAATTACGATTATCATAAACAAATATCTGTTTTTAAAATGGGACCCAAAAAATACAAAAAAGAAAAAAAATTGCTCAAGAAGACATAAAAAGTCGCCAAATTACTTCAGAATATATTCGAAAATTACTTACTTTAACACTAATATAGCTATAATAATAATTGAAAAAAAAACACAAATAACAAAATATAAAAAAAAACTAAATAGACACACAAATAAATGACTAAATAAATAATACATAAAGCTCAAAAAAAAAAAAACGAAATATATCGAAACACCAAAATGAAAAAAAAAAAAAAAAAAAAAAATATATATATATATATATATATATATATATATATATATCGGGAAAATAACATCAAAATATATTCAAAAGAACACGGCCGTAATATCCAATTAAAACGACACAAAAATAAATGAATACCTAACGAACAGGTGTTTGCCAATTTTTATCAATAACGTGAATATCGTACGCCAAGGTTTTGAAGTCCAGCTTTTAACGAGCGAAGTTTCACCCCCACGGATGCAAATTAATCGTAAAATACTGCCTGAAAACGATTCTTAAGAATGTTGTTATTTTATATGATTAAAATAACAACGATGGTGATCTGTTTGTGATTAAGAATTGATTTCGAAAAGTTGTAAATGAAGTAAAACAAAATGAAAAAAAAAAAAAAACTAAAAAAAAAAGAAAAGAAAAATTTGTAAGCGTAAGTGACCACGCAAGCCACTAGATGTAAGCGTAACAGAGATGGTCTTGGGGCGGTCAATGAAAGGGGTCTTAACTTGCTGGTTTATTTCTGAAGATAGATATGAGACCCAAGAGACCCTCGTGTCCCCGGGTGGAGGACGAGGTGGTGGAGCTGGACCCTGTGTCGCTTGGCCTGTCTACCGTGTCTCCTTCTGTCCCCCTGTGTCTTAGGCACGTGCCCTTTTATGCGGCGGTTTCCTTGGAGGGCGGATGTTTATTCCTGTGTGAAAAGAGAAAGGAGGGCAGCACCTGCATCCTGCGCAAGGAGAAAGGCATTTGCTTGGACCGAGGTGTGAATCTGCCATCCGGTCTTGCTACGTATTGTTCACAAAATTGTCACTTAACTAGATCCAAAAACATTTTGTAAGTCCTTTTGAAGTTCCTGAAGTCTAACTTTTAATGTCCTCGCCTTCGTTTTATTTATTTATTTATTTTATTCCTTTTTTATATCAATAAGCCTGTGAATATTTCAAAACTCCGTTGCCGAACATGAATAATCCATCTAGTCATTTGTGGCAAGAATTGAACAACATTTCTGGCATTTCTCGTGACGTGCCGGGCCTGGCGTAGAGCGTGTGTGAATACAATAAATCCCAGCACTGCTTCTAGTTCATAAAGACCAAAACACATTATACACTTATCTACCTACGTGTTCATTTAGTCATCAATCAACAGTCTCGAGTGGAGCAATTTCGCTCTGCCGTCACCCCGTTTTCTATACCAACAATCAAAGCAGGTATAGAAAATGGAGTTCTTTTCTACCCTCCTGGTTACTATTTACAATTACACACTGAAAAGGAAGGAGGCTCAAAAGAAGAAGAAGAAGAAGAAGAAGAAGAAGAAGAAGAAGAAGAAGAAGAAGAAGAAGAAGAAGAAGAAGAAGAAGAAGAAGAAGAAGGAGAAGAAGAAGGAGAAGAAGAAGGAGAAGAAGACGAAGAAGGCTATGAAGAAGACGAAGAAGAAGAAGAAGAAGAAGAAGAAGAAGAAGAAGAAGAAGAAGGAGAAGAAGAAGGAGAAGAAGAAGGAGAAGAAGACGAAGAAGGCTATGAAGAAGACGAAGAAGAAGAAGAAGAAGAAGAAGAAGAAGAAGAAGGCGAAGAAGAAGACGAAGAAGAAACGTAATTTTTACTTGTACTAGCACCTATGGAATCGTCTGGCGGAGACAAATTTTGAAATATAAAGTGGGTAATTAATCACACCGGGGTACTAAACTGACCATAATTATATGTTATAAGTCATTAACTCCCCCTTTTTCATTCTGATCAAATTTCAGATCTAATTTCAGACTATAATAAGAGTAATAATGTGATTTCTAATTTAGTATTCATAACAAGCAGGGTTTACAAAGACACTTTCACTGTCAATGCAATATTGCTAACCCATGCACGTTTCATAGGCATTTTCTCAAGTTGAAGGACTTAGGGAGCTAAAATATATAAAAGAATATAAGCCATTTAGAAGGATTTGCTTAGTTAAATCTTTCCAGTTATCTTCTTTTTGTAATAATATCCAACATATAAGGAATATAAGAAATGTACATTCCTGCTCATACACTCGTATTAAAAAAAAAATCTCTCCTTTGAGCACTGAAGTATTCATAGCTCTGAGTTATATTACCATTATACATTATGCATTTCATCTCCGAGCATTTGAATAGGGCTAATGTAGCACTTGTGTCAGTCATTTGAATATTGCATATTTGTATATTTTGGGATTTCCACAGAGTAATTCAAACGAACAGGCAAGTAAATAAATGAAGAAATAAACACACACGCACACGCACACAACGCGCACATCAACACGCGTGCGCACATCCACACGCGCGCACACACACACACACACACACACACACACTGGTGTGTGCGCGCGTGGCACATAATAACTCGAAAACACAATTCGTTGACAAAGGGATTTTTTGCATTTAAACCCCTTCCATTTCTCTTCTGCTTCTTCCCCCCCCCCCCCCCCATTCTACGAAGCAGAAAATCCTACACCAAAGGACTACCTCTAAAGGACTACTTGCAAAGACTACCTCCAAAGACTACTTACAAGGATTACTTTCTAGGTATTACAATGCACGTTCTACCTACTTACTTACTCCCCCCCCCTCTACCAAGCCCTAGCCCGTTGTCGGAGCGGAGGGGGGGGGGGAGCTTAGGGGATTGGGACCCAAGGTAAGGGATCAGCCCTGTCTTGGCCCTCTACCCTCTTTTCTTCTCCCCCCCCCTCTCCCTCTCCCTTACCTTTTCCTTCTCTTCATCACCTTTTCTTCTGTCTTTTTTTTATCCTTTTCGCCACACTATTTTATCATGTTTTTTTTTATAACCTTCGGATTTTATTTGTTTTAACCGTTAACCATTGATCTTCTGCGTACCTACCTAATCATGAGAACTATTTCCTTGGACTACCCGCCAGGACTACCTATAACGGCTACTTACAAGAACTAACTGTGAGGACTACTTGCGAGGACTTCCTGCAAGAGCTATCAATAGAACTACGAGTGTTTGTAGGGACTACTAGCAGGGACTACCAACTACGAGGCACATAAGCAAACTGTACGTCTTGACAGATCCTTGAGCACCGAGCACCTACCGCAGGATGACCCGAGGCCGAGCTGGAGGGCAGGAAGCCGTCGAGGGCGGCGCCCGCTTCCCCGCTGGCGCTGCCGAGGGCGGAGGGAGCGAGGGCGGGGCTGTGGGCGGAGGAGGGTGGGGGAGGCGGGCCTCGCGCGGGCGGCTTCGGAGCGAGCACGGAGGAGACGAGCGGGTAGCTCCTCGAGGGCGAGACCTGGGTCAGGGGCGCCGAGGAGGCCACGGGCACGAGGGGCACGCCCGCCTTCAGGAGCGAGGCCAGGTACGAGGACGACGACACGGGCTGCGGCGACATGATACTCGTCGCGGCCTCCGCCGGCGGCTGCGGCGCGCCCCGCCCCGAGGCCGCGCTGGAGGCCGCGCTGGAGGCCGCGCCCTGCCCCGACGACGTAGGCGCGAATACCAGGTAATACTTGAGCGGTTCCGCGCCCTTGGGGCCCTCCTCGGCGTCGCCGGCGGCGCTCGAGGGCGACGCCAGCCCGAAGGAGGCGGGGATCAGCACCATCGTGTGCTTGGCCTTCGCCGCGTCGGGCGCTTCGCCGGAGGCCGGGGCGGGGGCGCCGGCGGAGGGTGCCGCCGCGTTTGTACTGGTGGGGGGGGCGGGGGCGAAGGGCGGGGCCGCCGGCTGGAGGAACGACCTGTGCAGCTGGCGTTGGTGCAGGATGGTGCCGGGAGTGACCGCCGCCAGGGCCTCGTCCGCGGCGCCCTTCGCCTGCGACGGCGGCGGCACCCAAGTCTTGTTGACGGACACCCTCAGGAGCTGCGACAGCGGGGTGGCCGCCGCGCCGCCGGAGATGACGCTGGTGCGCGCCACGCCGGCGGGCGGCTCCAGGCTGTCGGCGGGGGGGGCCGAGGACGGGGGCGCCGCGCCCGGCGGGCCGCCCACGTGGGCCACGAACAGCTGGTGCTTGGCGGCCTGGCCCGCGCCCCCGTCGGCCGGCTCCGCGGGCGCCGCCGGCGAAGGGCCGCTCGGCGGCGCCACGGCCTTCCACAGCTTCCCCGAGCGCTTGAGGATCGAGGGCACCGTCATCTTGCGAGGCTTGGCCGCCGGGGCGTCCGCGGGGCGCTTCTCCGGCGCCGCCCACAGGCCGCTCGAGGCCCAGAGGCCGCCGGCCGACTTCGAGGGAGACGCGGCGGGCGAAGCCTTCTTCGGGCTGGCCGTCCCCGCCTCCGCCTGCTGGTCCGCCGCTGCAGGAGGGGAAAGAACGGCACCAGCCGCAGAGGAGGGAGGAGGAGGAGGAGGAGGAGGAAGCGGGGAAAACGAGGAGGGAAGAACGAGAGGAGAGGAAGGGACGGAGGAAGGAAGTGACGACGAAGGAAGAGGACGAGGGGGAGACGCCTCCTTCGCCTCCTTCGCCTCCTTCGGCTTGGGGGTCCTGCCGGCGTCGCCCTTCCGCTCCCTCCTCCCCTCCTGCTGACTCGGCGCCTTGCTCTCCGGGGCCTCTGCGGGGGAAACGCCAGGGGTCAGTGACGCTCAACGAGGGCGGCGGGAAACAACAGTGCATCATCAAACTCTAAATCTAACTCATACTCGTACTCACAACATGCATTTTGACTCACTCAAACGTTAACTTATGAATTGCGTGTGAGCATACTGTACAAAGATAACAGAACTTAGATATAATACCAGCCTGAAAAAAACAAAACAAAAACAATACATGACTATAACCTCATCTTTCCTAACAAAGTATAGTAATTTCTCATTCAGAATAAAGAACAAAAAGAAAACAAATGTCCTCGCTGTCTATAATGATACAAGCATATACTACAAGCATGCAATAAAATTCAGTCACATAAAGGGAATTGCACAACCATGTTAATTATGGAAGCAATTAAAGGTACTGAAAACAACGGAATATAACATACGCAAAACAAACCATTTCCAAGTCAAAAAAAAGAAAAAGAAAAGAAGAAGGTATATACGCGTGACAAAAACGGACACGGACAATCACACGGACACGGACACGGACACGGACACGCACTCGGACACGGAACACACGCCAATCCATAACCCCCGAGAACCCAACCATTTCCTGACATTCACCCCTAAAACATGACGTAACGACAGAGACATTCAATAAAACCACCCCCTCCCCACCCCCAACCCCCAAAACCCCACCCACACCTCCCCTACCCTCCCCTCCCTCCGGCTACTATGAATTTTCGTCCATGTACTCATTTTCTCCCCCCCCCTTACCCCTCCCCCTACCCCAACTCCCCATACCCAGCCCTCCCCTTCCCTTCCCTTACCCCCATACCCCAACCCCTCCCCCCCAAAAAAAAAAAAAAAAAAAAAATATATATATCCACTAACATCACCAAAAATCATTATCATCACCATTACGATCAAGTGCGGTATCCCATTGAAAGCCTCCCCCCCCCCCTCCCAAAACCGGAGCACGGGAAAACCACCCGTAGTTTCCGTGGTCGTTAGGGTTAATATTCGAGCGTCACGCATGGAATATTCCGGGAGGCGTCTTGCCATGCTATTTCGCCCGGAGTTAAAAGGAAATGAAACTCGGAGTGGCGGGGGGGGGGGGAGGTTGGACTTCGCCTCTTCAGTCAGTCGCCTTCCCCTTTCAATGCTGCTGTTGCTTCTGTTGCCTCTGGTGTTTCTGTTGCTTCTGTTGCCTCTGGTGTTTCTGTTGCTTCTGTTGCCTCTGTTGCTTCTGTTGCCTCTGGTGTTTCTGTTGCTTCTGTTGCCTCTGTTGCTTCTGTTGCCTCTGGTGTTTCTGTTGCCTCTGTTGTTTCTGTTGCTTTGCTGGTTTCGATGTCGATCAGGCGGGGGTTTGGGTGTGTTGAGTAGGGTGGGTGTAGGTGGGTAAGTGGGTAGGTGGGTGTGTGTGTGAGGGTGTAGGTGGGTAAGTGGGTAGGTGGGGGGGGGGGGGGGTAAGTGGGTAGGTGGGGGGGGGTAAGTGAGTAGGTGGGGGGGTAAGTGAGTAGGTGGGGGGGGTAAGTGAATAGGTGGGGGGGGGGGGGTAAGTGAGTAGGTGGGTGTGTGTGTGAGGGTGTAGGTGGGTAAGTGGGTGTAAGTAGGTGGATGGGTGGGTGAGTGTGTGAGTCGTGAGCGTGAGTGTGTGTGTGTGGGAGAGGGGGGGTAAGGGTATGTGTGATGGGGGGGGGGGGGTAAGGATGTAAGTGGATATGCGGGAAGGAGGCTGGGTATGAGATTGCGGATGTACAGGCACACACGCACTCACAAATGCATGCACACACACACACACACACACACGCACACACACACACACACACACACACCTACGCAACCACATACCCAATCCAACGAAATACCCCTCCCCCCCTCACCCCTACCCACCCTCCCGTCCGCACGTGCCCCTAGACGCCCCTCCCTGCGTCCCTCAGCCCTTCCGTCTCTATGTCCGTCCCTCCTTCCCTCAGTCCCTCCTCCCCTCTGTCCCTCCGCCCGCAGTCCCTTCGGCGTCCCTCGGCGTCCCTCGGCGTCCTCTTCCTCAACCAGGATCCCCTCTCCACCCCCTTCCCCCCTCTCCGACGCCCCCGGTCTCGAGCAGCTCCAGGGGAAGGATCGATGGATAGTCCCTGGCTTCCCTGCCTGGATATATATACACCTTTATCCTTACATAGTCGTACGTAACGGTCTAATGGCCTCACAAACTTTCTTTAATATCTGTAGTTTCAGTCACTTTTCTTCCGTCTTTTTATCATATTTTTTTTCTCTCTTTTTTTTTCTTAAATTTTATTTAAAGCCGAGCGAATTCTAGCCCTTACAATATACATATCTATATCTATATCTATATCTTTATCTATATCTATCTATCTATCTATATACATATATATGAGCGTCCGAGCGAAGCTATTTGAAAGGTTTCGAAACGTGGACACAATTTCTTCTTTTTTTCCTCTAAATCCTTTTTTTTTTATATATATAACTTTTGACTCGTTTAACGACATCGCTTCTGTTTTCGTTAACTCTGCGCTGCCTCATACGAGAGCACAAAGACCTACAAATTTTAGCTCATTCTTTCCATTATGAACGTTTTTCCTACGGAATCTGCCCATTTCCGGTTGTCATATCAATTATTCTTACCACATGGACACCAATGGCAGTGTATTTAGCATAATCTATCTATCTATCTATCTATCTACCGCATGAACACCAATGACAGTGTGTATTTAACATTATCTATCTATCTATCTACCACATGAACACCAATGGCAGTGTGTATTTAGCATAATTTATCTATCTATCTATCTACCTCATGAACACCAATGGCAGTGTGTATTTAAGATTATCTATCTATCTATCTATCTACCTCATGAACACCAATGTGTGTATATTTAACATTATCTATATATCTATCTACCACATGAACACCAATGGCAGTGTGTATTTAGCATAATCTAACTATATATCTATCTATCAACCAACCTACCTACACCCACACCCACAAACACACCATCGCTTCTCCCCCCCCCCCACCCCCTTCGGCGCTCATAAATTCCCCCCCCCCATCCCTAACCCCACAAAACAAAACAAAAAATAAAAAACTAGTAAACTTAGGACGTCCAACCTCTCCCCTCCCCCCTCCTCCCCCCCTTTCCACTTGTATAAATATTGCCTCTGGGATGCTCTTACATCATTAAATACATCACGGGGCCAACCTTATGAAAAATGCATGGAGGATACAATGAGCAAAAACGCCGTATGTGTGAGGTTAGGCATACGTAAGTAGATTGGTAAGTAGATAGGCAAGTAAGTGGATTGGTAAGTAGAGGGGCAAATAAGTAGTTTGGTAAGTAGTTTGGTAAGTGAATTAGTAAGTAGTAAGTAGTTTGGTACGTAGACTGGTAAGTTAATTGGTAAGTAGATGGGCAATTAAGTAGACTGTTAAGTACATAGTAAGTAGATTAATAACTAAGTAAACGTGTAAGTGGATTTGTAAGTGTGCGTGTGTATGTATCACAGTTCTTGTTTTAGTAACTTTTGTGCGAAAAAAAAAGTTAAACAGTAGAGGGGAACCAGGTGGAGAACAAGTAAAAAAAATAAAAAATAAAAAAAACAAAAAAAAGGTCATTATTCATAAAAAGTTTTAAAACTACAAAAATGAATGTAAAATACTGCTGAGTTTAGAAAGGGCGGTTGCGTTAGTGGTCACACCTTCATTATATTAAAAAAAAAGAAAAAAGAAAAAAAACAAGCTCCAAAGTTTATACCACAACGTTTCCAAAAAAAGAAAAAAAGAAAACTCCATTATACATTAAAAAAAAAAAAAAACATAATAACAATAATAACAATAATAATAATAATAATAATAATAACATCGACACGACAAAACAAAAAAACAACAAAAACGGCTGGCACAAGGCAAGCTTCTGGCGCAGTGTGGTTGAGCCTTAATACTGAAAAGAGGTTAGGAAGTTTTACGACATGCGGGTATTGAGGTTAAAGCTACAGTGGCCGTTGAATGGAAACCCCCACAGCTGCACAGGGGTTCCAGAATAACACGTTTATTTTATTTTTATTTTTATTATTTTGGGGGTGGGGGTGGGGGGGAGGGGAGGGGCAAATTTGTACAAGGGTTTTATCACGAAACCTCGTGCTGTTCTGGAAGGAGAAGGAGAAGGAAAAGGAAGAGAGAGAGAGAGAGAGAGAGAGAGAGAGAGAGAGAGAGAGAGAGAGAGAGAGAGAGAGAATATCTGAATGTGGTTCGTTCTCAATAACAGACTTTGTAAGATCTCAAGTTGAAGAACAGATATATCTATGTCTATTCGTCATGTGTTTCGAGAGTTAAAATTATTTCACCTAACGGCCAGAGAACTGAATATCGGAGATCGAATTTGATAAACACATGAAGAACACTTGAACGCCCGACGGTTCTAGTGAAATTGAAGAACGCGAACATGAAAATAACCTTAAATGCAATCAAAATGTAGGTAAATAACCTTAAATGCAAGTAAAATGTAGGTAAATAACCTTAAATACAATTAAAATGTAGGTAAATAACCTTAAATGCAAGTAAAAAGTAGGTAAATAACCTTAAATGCAAGTAAAATGTCGGTAAATAACCTTAAATGCAATTACAATGTCAGTAAATAACCTCATATGTAACCAAAATGTAAATAAATAACCTTAAATATAATTAAAAACCCAAAACGGGCTTCAGGTTTTAGTGTGAACGGCAGCAGAGTTTTCGTTGGACGCTATTCCTAAGTTTAAAACGAAAAAAAATATATATAATACTGTGAGTTTGAGATGAAGTTTTGAATTCAGGAAGAAAAACACCGGCGTTAAGATATGTGAGAGAAGGAAAGCGAAAAAAGAAAAGAAAAAGGCGAAGAAGCAGAAGAAGAAGGATGAAAAATGTAAAAAGGTTCGGTGATGAAAACATACCATGGGGAAAAAATCAGGACCTTTGGCTTATATCCCCTTAAATCACTTCAAAAAACCCTAAAAATATATATCAACCAAGAGCCACATCAATCCCCAGAACTCGAAACCAAAAGCCAGACAGAACCTCCCAGAACCCCGAAGGCTTGCACACCGGCCCCTCGAAGTTCTCGAAGCTTCCACCAGCGAGACGGCGCCGGCGGAAAATTCCATCCGACAGACATTTCAGTTCGGTGTCTCAAAATCCGAGGGGAAAATGTCATTGGTCTCCTCTTCTCTCCCCTCCCCCCTTTCTCTCTCTCTCTCTCTCTCTCTCTCTCTCTCTCTCTCTCTCTCTCTCTCTCTCTCTCTCTCTCTCTCTCTCTCTCTCTCCCTCTCCTTGGAAGTACGAATATCCAAAGCTCAACTAAATTTTCGACCCTCGTTCAGTGCTGCAGAAAATCGCGTGGAGTGCTCGGCTGCAAACGACCTGCGTAGTACGGGGTACGAAGCCACACGTGCACAAAGGAAAAGGGGAAAAAGAGGGGGGGAAAGGGGTAAAAGAGAGAAAAGAGAGAGAGAGAAAGAGAGAGAGAGAGAAATGAAGGAAGCCCTTGAACACCAGGGCTTTTGAAGCAGACATTCGAGGACCCGAAGCTGTTGAGGCGAAGTTGGAAGCGTGCA